TATATATATATATATATATATATATATATATACACACACACAAAAAACTTGCCTGTCTTATGCACTTGAACCTTGAAGATTGATTCAGAAGGTACCTCTGAAACAGTTGCAACACTTCCCACATGCACACAGTGTAAATACTAAAGATGTGAATTAACATGAGCAGTTAACCACTGTCAGTCATTAAAATTTGAATATTTGAGCCGATTCTCATTAAAATATTTTTATGGTGTTTAGATTTTGGCTGCTGTTCAGATTTTATAAAATTTGTTTGTCGGTTCTGACAGCTAAATTTTAACTTGACGATAATTTCATTTATAAGTAGTGTGATGCAAATCTGATTTGGTGTGCTGGACCTCCACGTTCTCTGACATTATAATGTGATGCATGGTTGATAAAGATTACTAAAGATGTCTGTTCTGTCACAGGTTTGAAGAAAAGGAGAGCGTCTCAGGTGTGCAGCAGTTGAAGTCTTCTGTTCAAAAAGGGATCCGCACAAAGCTTCTGGAACAGTATCCATATTTGGAAAGTTACGTGGACAGTATTCTTCCAAAAAAGGACACATATCGTATAGTTAAGTGGTATGTACTAGTGAACTAACTTCACGGAGCTGAGCCCTTTTTGAGAAGTCACCAATTGTGCAGCTCCTCAAGAATTTCCCACCATTTTATGGAACCCGAAGGTTCATTACTGTGTTCACAAGAACCTCAACTTGTCCATATCCTGAGCCAGATCAGTCCAATCCATACCATCCCATTCTGTCTCTGTAAAATCCATTTTAATATTGTCCGTCCACCTATGTCTTTGTCTTCCTAGTGATCTCTTCCCTTCTGGCTTTCCCACCCTATGTGAATTCCTCTTCTCCCCATCCATGCTACTTGCCCTACCCATCTCATTCTCCTTGACTTGATCGTTCTTATTATACTTGGCGAAGAGTACACATTATGAAGGTCTTCACTGTGCAGTTTTCTCCAACTTCCTGTCACTTAATCTCGCTTTGGTACAAATATTCTCAACACCCTCAACCTAAGTTTCCTCCCGTAAAGTCAGAGACAAAGTTCCATAAATTTCCCTTTAAATCTTTATTTCACAGGTCATCAGGGTGAATACCATTTTCCCTGTGAGTGTTCAGGTTTAACAGCCATATAGTATAATTGCTGTCATCATAAATTTAGTTTTATGTGTTCTTATTTTCATGCTCTTACTTATATACCTCTTACTGAGCATCTTATTCAATGTGTGAAAGCACCAGTTGGCAGTTGCAATTTTGTCTTCTATATTGTATTCTGTTTCTTTTTAAGATGTAATTATTGAGCCTAGATATTTGAATGTGTCTACCCTTTCAAAATTTTGTTCATTTAATTCAACATTTTTTTTTAGCTACATTAACATTGAATTAACATCAGAATATATATTTTTGAATTTGACGTACCCGTAATCAAATATAAATGAAGTTCTCGATCTTTTAATTAATCAAAGTCAATAGAAAAGGACTAGCTTTGATCAGTATCACTTGATACTCAAAGAATCTGTTTAGTATTTACCTTGATACATGCTGTGCCCATATATCAGTAAAGGTCTTGTATGCTACATCCAATAAAGAGATTCCTCTATAATTTTCAAATTCTGACTTATTGTCTTTCTTTAAATATGGGACACTTGTTTGCTGTTTGCCATTCTTCTTTTTATTCACATACAGATCCAATTAACTGGTAGATATTCTTGCAGAGACATTTGGCGTTTTCCTTTATTAGCTTAGCGGTTATAGCATCCTCTCCAGGCGTACTGTTATTTTTAAATCTTCTAATGGCATCATATACAGGCATTCAATGATCAAGAAAACCTGGCAGCAGCATGGATTGCACACAACATTTCTCACAGATTGCTGCTGTAACTGCTGATAGCGGAATGAGTCATTAGCGCTGATAAACACGCGCACTCTCGCTAGTGAAGGGCAGATGGAATGTTTCTCCAAGACTATTGTGCCCTTACCCGCTAGTGAGAGTGCAATCCTCGTGCTGATTCCCTCACATTTGTTTCTGTACATGCACACATTTATAAAAATACTGTAAAAAGATAACACAAACTTACTGTGTTTTATAAGAGGTGCTGAAAGTGACCCCCTTCTGCTTGCAAACATGCCTCGCATCACATAAATAAATTGTGCAACACTTTTGAAGTTGGTCTATGGTAATTGAACCAATTATGCATGTTATTACATTCTGCAGAGCTTCAGTGGTGTGAGGATTATTCTTGTAGACTTTTCCCTTTAGGCTTCCCCAAATATAAAAATTGCAAAAACTGAGATCTGGGAGGCCACAGCTCCATGCTGATTATTCTGTCTTCAAACTCTTCCCGTATTGCTACCATGGTTGCATTAGCTGCATGTGCTGTAGTGTTATCTCACTGAAAATACCCATGTTGTCTTTCTTTAGCAGTCAGCTGTTTGAAGAATGGATTCAGTATATCATTAACGTAGTGGGCAGAGTTCACAGTTTTGTGGAAAAGTAAGGGGCCAATGATTTGCTGCGGACTTACAGAGCACCACACCTCCACCTTTTCGCTATGTAATGGCATATGCTGTATAGCGTGAGGATTTTCATCGCTCCAAATTCCTACATTCTGTGCATTGACATGACCACTAATGTGAAACCGCGCCTCATCAGTCATGTTCTTTAGAGCTTAAGTAAGCTTCATTTAGATTACAAAATATCAGTCATTTATGAAGATGAACCATCTTGCTTACTGAGTTAACAGGAACATAATCATTTGTCCTTGGCATGACCTTAGATATTTCATCAGATACATAAAATTGCTTCACTGTTTCAGCAGTTGCAGGAGGCAGCGGTTTGCCTGGTTTCATAGTTGAGCTTGACAGAATCTTTTTCTCAGGCACTAATTTCTTGGTACTCAGAATCATGTGATTTGAAGCTTAGAACTGTTGTTAAATTTTCCTGATTGACCAGTTATTTTTAAAGAACCATCAACATTTGTACCATTTCAGTCTTTTTCCCATTAAAAGAAATTTTTCCTTCAATCATGCTCTCATTTCACTTTCACCTGAACTATGCTACCACTGGAGTATGTTAAATTGAATATTTTCTTTTCATTTCCCCTATGATGTCTTGAAATTTTCATTTGGATATGTGAGTTTTGACATCTTTTTAGTGGAATGTTGTGACACTTGACCTCAGTGATTTGTTCAAGGAGGAAGCAACATGGGTCTGCTCAGTTTTAAAATTGTTGTTTTCCTACATTTGTCACAGATTATTTGTCCTATCTAAACACTAGGATCCTCATTTTATCCTGTACAGCACACGTCTCAGTTTTCTCTTGGAACTTACACCATAATTGACAATCATGGGATCACAATACTGTTTTAAATCATTAAGTTCTTTGGCACATAGCACTTGCAGCCATTTAAACTTTGCAAAAATAAAACTTAATTTTGCACTTGGCTGATCCACTACAGTATTTATTAGACGAGGAAGTGCAGCTTAACTGTACTGGCATCAGGTATGAATGGAAGGGCTGGATGAGTCAGATCCTGCAGATATATCTGTGCAGGTCACACCATGGCTCTTCATGTCGAATCAAACCACTACAGACAGAAAACATATCTTCTCATCACTTTCAGTTCACAACATGATGCTTTCCAAAGGTGTATTAAATTGGTCACTAAATGTTACGGAAACAGTTGACATAGATCATGCTCCGTTTTTTCGTGAACTAAGGTCAAGAGTCAAGGTGAAAATGTTAATGTGCCCTAAAATAATGTGAGTGGCATGCCCAATAAAAGTTTTCTAGTATTATAAGGATAAGCTTTCTGTCTCAATTAGGACCAGGCTATTTCAGTGAATCAGAATGAGGGAAAATAGAAGGAAAGCCTGAAATTTCATGCATGTTGCATCCTGAGACTGAATAAGCTTGAAAATTTTGCTTCTAAATTGTGTTGATTTTGACATCAGATTATCCATTTAGCTTTTGGTTTAATTGTGACAATTAATGGAGCATTTGAGTTAGGCATTTAAAGTTTGATATGGAGATAGATCATGGACATACCTACAAATTGGAGCCAGGATAGCACAGTCAATATGGTGACAGGCCATGCGCTGAATGGCCACGATTTGATTTCTGGCAGGGACAAGACATTCCCTTTACTTGATTAAGTCTGGACTAGCCCTGGGTCTGCCCAGCCTCCTGTCCTGTGGGTACTGGTTTGCTCTTTCCCAAGGAGTAAAGCAGCTGGGGCATGAAGCTGGCCACTTACCTCCATCTAGTGCCAAGGTCAAGAATGGTGGAGCTGTACCTTCACTCACCCATACATCTTCATGGTATGGTGCCTGATTAATTACTCACAGGGACGACTTTACCTTTACCTTTTACATGCATACAAATTCTGTATGAAGTGTTATCTGTAAGGCAACAGGTTCAAGTACAAACGTTGTAATGGTCCCAGACTTAAAGATTATGTCCAACATTGTTATTGTAGACAGAATGGTACTTAAGTAATAAGTTTTCACAAAAAGAAAATATTATCACTGCTGCCCCTACTACTAATAATGTTAATACTAATTGGGTGCTTGTATATTAACCCATCAAGGTCAAATGTGAAGAGTGATTTGACCAAGGAAAGATTTTGTTTTGACATATCCAGGAATTATCTTGGAAGCTCTTCTTCCAAACTGAACAAATGCATGTTCATTTCTAAGGTTAAGCATCTGTTCAGATGTATACTAGTTTCTTTCTCTTGAAGGTGAGCTGCAAGAATTTAAATGTTTCTTTGAATTTTAGGATCCATCAGTTCAGTTCCCTTGAAAAAGATTTAATTTTGGTCATGCACATATGTGAGGGATGAATTGTAACTTTGAAGAGAAACTTATGATTTATTAAACATTAACATACGGGCCTCATTTATGAATTTGATTCAGTTTCTCATATTAGCTGAACAGATCCTCAAATTGCATTTTCTCTTTTTTCTTGAAAATATTTTTCAGATCTTCATACACACATTTTAAAACATTGCCTGTGGCAGCCCTCTGACCTGTATATCTAAGCACTGGACTTTACAAAATTTACTGGTTGAATGACAAGAGACATGATTTGTTTCAAATCTGAGGATAAAGATCTTGCAGTGAAAACCTGCTGACAGATCACACTGACTCTACAGTACTTATCATAACTTTTAAGATATGCATTCAAACATAGAAGGAGCTCCATAAATACAAACCCCACACAGCTTTTCCATTTAGTGCTGTGTTCTTAAAAAATGTGACATTAAAAATATCTGTCAAGGTTTTGCAAAATAAAAACTCTCTTTTAAAATATATTTATTGAGGGATAACCTGATATAAACAAGAAGCTGAGCTATATTCGCTCGATCTTTTGACTCATTAAATTGATATTGACTTCTTCACCTAATTGTGTCATTTGACAAAGAGGGATTGCTGTAATCTAATTAAGGAATCACTTTTTGTCAGGTCAATCTTATGTCTTAGCACAGGGTCATATGTACTGTACAGCTGTTTTGTATAACGTTTTATCCATTGCAGTTGTGTGTGCAACACAAAATTTCAAAAGCAGCAGTATTTTTTTAAGGTAGGACCCACAATTTCCAAGTCTAGTTTGATTTACAGTTTCAACCTTTCCTAAAATAATATTTACATCAGAGTCAATCAGAGATTCACGTCTTGTTTTCAGAGATTGTATTAATTTTTTTGCTCTGATTGCTTGACTTGCTAGCATTTCACTGCATATTGCACACAGTGGTCTTTCATCTATGTTAATAATTATTGAGGTAAACTCATACTTTGTAAACTCTTCATGAAACCTTCTTTTTCTCATGCCTTCTTCAGGTTACATTACATTTGTCATGCAGAATACAAAATCCACATCACTATTTGAACTTGACTGCAGTGTCAAGTAGTTAGTTAGTTATTTAGATGGGGTGGGTTTCCCCATGCACCGCGACCAGTTTGATCTATTGTGCTTCCCTCTATGATATTCTACCAGTCTCTATACCCTACCGATAAATGGTGCGTACCATCAGTCCCGCCGAGCAAGCGAGTTCGGCCACTTGCTTAGCGGCCTTAGAGACTATTGTTGGGCGGGAAACGTCCTGGAATTTGGCTCAGTGATCCCCTTTGGGGATATGAGGTTCTTTTACGTGCTGTAAAGTTACGACACGGTACACACAGCTTAAAGTCCATCCTGGAGGACTTGTTCTCTGAATTTTTCCGCCCTTAAAAATTCGACCTCCGCCGGGTATTTGAACCCGCGTACTACGAGTCGTGAGGTGGGAACGTTACCTCTAGACTACGGAGGCCGCTGCAGTGTCAAGTAACTCATACGGTACTGAACCAGATTTTTAGAATAGCAGAAAAAATCATAATTGTCAGAAAAGCCTCTTGAATTCTATTGGTACAAATGATTGACTGCATCTACATAATATACATATATATTTTGCCGTCTAATTTGTAGGTTTGAGTGAAAATAGAATAAAGTCAGCATGGAGATTTCATTGATGTGTGTTATTTTGTCATTCAGCTTTCCCTCCTTTGAGACAGAAATTAAATTAGTAGTAGGAAAAGCTGACCCAGGGTAGCACAGTTGGTATAGCAATTAGCTACAGGCTGGATGACTGAGGGGTCGGAGTTTGAGTTCCAGTAGGGCCAAGAGCTTTGCCTCCTCCATGTTCTCCAGACTGTCTCTTAGGGCTACCCAGCCTCTCATCCAATGGGTATTGGGGACATTTTCTCCCCCCCCCCAAGCAAAGCGGCTGGGGCGTGAAACTGACCAGTCACCTCAAACTAGTACCAATGGCAAGAAATCATGGGTCTGTACAACCCCCCACCCACTTGTCTTCTTGCTGTAATGCTTAATTAGTTAATCACAATGATAGTTGTACCTTTAGTAGGAAAAGCTACACAGCAAAAACAATATATGTGAGTGCAATCTCAGTACTAACTGAATTTTGATATGCATTCATGTGTTCATAAAGTAATGTCCATTTATAAATAATCAGCAGCATTTAGTAAAACTTTCCTGACCCATTGAAATGACTTATATGGCCATCAGAATGTCCTGTATGCCTCCATTTTGGACCACAACCCATAGGTTGAGAACCATTGGTTTAAAGTTATTTGTAAAAAGTGCAGTTAAAAGATTTTACCAGCTTCTTGCTTTTACAGTCATGACCATATAGAAATCCTAGTAAACAGCAGTGGTGAACTCCTTTTCTTCTGGCATAGAGAAAGACTATGGATCCCTACATTACGTCTCTTGCATAAATGTAAGTATTCAGAGATTCTTTACATGTTGAACATCTATTAATCAGATGCTATATTGTCTGTTAAAGCAAGAAAGTAAGCCTAATGGCTCACTTTTTTCAAAAACACCCACTCTGAAAATTTAAAAGTTATTTTCCATTTTCAGATCCGTTCTTCCTCCCATGGGAGCAGGTGGATAAAGGAGCCATTCGTTTTGTTCTCAGTGGTGCCAACATCATGTGTCCAGGTCTTACATCACCTGGAGCTAAGATGACACCTGTTCCTAAAGGGACAGTGGTTGTATCCTTTATTTAAAAGTACCAGTTCCCATTTATATATTTGTCAGAGATATTTNCTATATACTCTCCTTCCTTTTTGATGCACTTGGTCCAGCAGTTCACAAGCTTGCGTATTCCCTCCAAGAAGGATTTCGGTTGGTTGCGCAACCATTTATGCACCACTAGAGCAAGTACAAAGTCTTCTCAGTCTGCTGTGGCTTCAGCAGTCGTTTTCTGCTAACGGCATCCAACGCCGTAGTTCCCAAAACTTCTGTATTCACTTTTTTTACCGGTTGCCGGTTATCTCACAGCCACCAAAACTCTAGGATTGTTCTGCTTGTAACACCGTGGCACTGACTGTGTGGAACACAGCTTTCCCAGTAGCTCTTTCATTGCGTCACGTAGCTATTGCACAGACTGCTTAGAGAAAACTTCTTCCCAATTCATTATGCGTGTTAGGGATTGTTGTAACCATTACCTACCAATGGCCTTTGTTTACAGATTAATTAGGAATGGGTCTACATACTATATTGCTTCCCCCATTAAGTCTGTTTGTCCGAATAGCATGCAGGCATACCACCATATCTTCTTTTCCAGTGGCTGTGCTTGTGACGTCAGATCGGCCTAGCCTTCCTTCCCTATGGCTCGGTTCTCATTGATGCCAGGTGCCAGCTGGTCCAGGTATGCCAACATTCTCTATCGGGGTTTTCGCTGGATCCTGTATGCCACATCATTTATCCAGTTGACTACTTTGTATGGACCTCCATGAGGTTTGGAGTTTGGGAGGTTTCCCCTTAGTGTGGGTTGAGCGATAGATCCACACTTTGTCACCTTTGTGGTAACCCGTGCAGTTGGCCAGTTGTAACAAGTTTTCTTCCAGTCACTGGCCAGCTTCAGGTGTTGGGGGGGATATAATTGTGGATGTCATGTAGATAGTCTGCTAAATTTGCCGCAGGATCAATTGTGGATCGTTTCTTGTTGGTGGATGACCCAAACAGCAGGTCGCAGTGAAGTCGGAGTTGTTTTCCAAATACTAAACTAGCTGGGGTCAACCCCGTAGTGCCCTGGGTGAATGCCATATAGTCCAGGAGGAAGCTGGATAATCTTGCTTTCCAATCCCTCTGGTGAAAAGAGACGACCTTTCATAGGTCCTTGACTGTTTTGATGTAGCACTTTACCAAGCAGGGGTTTGGGGCCTGTCTTGGTCACTCCCAGGCATTGCAAAATCTTCTGTATCAGATGAAACTAGAAGTCACCATCCTGGTCACTATACAACACCCACGGTACTCCGAAGAGGCAGAAGAATGTGATAACTAGTGCTTCTAGCATTGTGGAGGCCTCTTAGTTTGGAATGGGGCGCATAGGGATCAGGAAGTATTGGTTTCCTTGGTCACTCAGTAGTAAGGGCCCTGCTGCGCTGATGGCTGTCCTTTCCAGCGGAGCCCCGACGTTTGTTCCTTAAAGCTCTTAAGACTCATGAACCAGGTTAATGCAAAGTGGTTGACGGACAGGTGGAACTTTTGTCCGTAGAGGTACTTATGGAAATGTTCTGGTGTCCTCACAATTGTAGGTAGTTTCTGTCGGGTGATGCAGTAATTTTTCTCCGCATTGTTAAGCGTCATCCTGTAGTAGGCTATTACTCACTCCGTCCTATATTTACGACAGCACTTCTTCAGTTCTTTACTTCCGTCTGTCAATGATGACCCTCTCTTCTGGCTGCAGGTAAGCAAGAATAAGCTAGTACAGGGCTTCCTTTAGTGTTTCAAAGTCGGCCTCCTCTTCTGTAGACCACTGGAAGGCTTCTTCACGAGTTTAGTCAGTGGCTTTGCAATGTTGTTGAGAACAAGCTTCTTATTTCATGTTTATTCTTCGAGGTTGGGCAATTCTCTAAAGCTTTTGGCTTCTCAGGGGCGGTGATTATCCCTTCAGGTGACTCAAGTATGCCAGAGGTAACGTATTTCCTTCTGACAGCTTGATTTCTCTGGATTGATCTTTAGGTGGGCTTTCCAGAACTGCTGGAACACTTTCCATCAGTTGAACAGGTGTTCTTGGAACATGCGGCCAATCACGATCACATCGGCTGGCTACATGCGACATGAGGCCTCTTAAGATGGTCTCTGGTTACGTCTGAAACATCGCTCAAGCGTTGCACTGGCCAAAGAGCATGGCTGTGAACTGCCATACCCCTTGGCTCTTGGAGAAACTGTCTTCTCCTTGTCTGGATTCGGACCCACCTGCCAATAATCACTCTTGATGTCCAGAGTGAGCAATCATTTGGCTCCAGCTAGCATGCATAGAGTGTCGTCAGTCCGGGGCAGCCTTTTCTTGTGACATTGTTTAGTTTCCTATAGTCTACGCAGAAGTGCAAGTTGCCGTTTTTCTGGACGAGGACGGGAAGTACCATCGGCTGTCTTAACTCTTCCATAACACCACATCGTTGCATGTCCTCAAGCATCTTGCCCACATAACCAGTTTTTCTAGTGGAATCTGTTCGAAAGTTGGCAGATTGTTTGGACCTCCCCCTTATGTACATGTATACTGTGGTATACTCCATCGGTCTGTCCGTAGTCATCACTCCTCATTGCAAAGGTGTATCCATATTCGATGATTCCAATTCTCGTTATAAGCATCACTCAGGTTTGGCGTGCGGCTGCAATCACGGCCTGTAACTTCAGGGTCATATCGGTGACCTCTGGTTACTCCATGTCAGATGGGGTCACCAGCGTAACTGGCTCATTGTGCTAAGGGGATCCTTTCATTAGCTTCGTTGTGACAGGTAGCATTCAGGACTTTCACGGGTACCCTTCAGCAATCTTGAATCTGGGTTCTGGCTACATAGAGTCCTTCAGGTGGATGTGCCCACTGTAGTCATCAATTCAATAACTCAAACAAGCCAATCCCTCTTCTGACACCAGATGTCACATGATAGAATGGCTATAGATGGGGTTTGGATTGGTAATAGGATTTGTAAAATCGTAACCAGAAATAACTACAATGCTCTCACTAACTCACACACTCGGCAGTTCACTAAAGGATGTATCTTCACGAGTCATCTGGTAACGGTTTCAACGTCCTAGATCCCTCAACTTTCGTGTTCACATCCTAACTGGCCAGTGACTGTCTCACAACAAACAAAACTCTAGACTTGTCCTGCTTATGATACCTTGGCACAGACCACACAGAAAACACCTCTCCCAGCGCTCTTCTGTTGTTGCTTGATGTAGCTGTCACACTGAGACTGCCTAGAGAACACTCGCTTCCCAGTTACTCCATTGATGTGTGTTAGGAATTAGTTAGAACCATTATGTAGGAACGGCCGTTTTTTATAGTCATTACTTAGAAATGGGTCTACATGCTACAATATAGTATACAGTAAAATGATATCTCATTAAATGCTCCCCATGTAGACAAACTTGGCCCCAAAAATTCACAGTTGTTTTTTTTTAAAGTTCTGTGTTTTTGCTTATGTTTGATGTTTGACATAATGTTTGTTTTGTTTGTCATGATGCCTAATCTACCTATAAAGGTATCAACTACTGGCATCAAATAAGAAATAAAGTACAGGTCTTCAGATTTAGTGTTGTTAAAAGAAATCTTGCTGTATAACCAACATGTCTGACATTTTGTAATTTCTGCATGAAAATTATGCTGGTGGCGGGAAATTAATGTTCCATACCTGGGACATAGCAATCCTAATAACGATTTTATCTTAATAATAGCAAATTTGACAGTTTTGTACACTGGATCTGTTGGGTTTGAAGTAGTGGCAGTATTGAATAAGTTAGTAATTTCTGTCTAACCTGCTATATCTACAATGTTGCCATGGATTGGGAAGGCTGCATGAATTGGCCATGTAGTTGAAAAGCTAGATTTCCTTAACTCTTATTATCAGGCAGTTATGGCAGAAGGAAAGCAACATGCATTAGCAGTTGGGATGACTGCTCTGTCAACAGAAGAAATGTAAGTACCATAATCTCTTTCCTTCTCTCTAATTAGTCATGTTCATATATATGAATACCCACAGGCATTAATTCTCATTGTAAACTACATGTGTGTTATATAATATGAGGAAATGGATTCATTTAGATACTATAGGGTTCTGACGATGGTGTATAACACACAGAGATACTGGGTTTTCAGACTTTGTCCATCGTCCGGATTCTGTAACTAAGAAAAAACACAATGTTTCGGAACTGGATCTGTTTCTGTCCTCAGGTGAGAGAAGACTCCTAAGGGACCCAACAGAGTAGGTGTCTTCTCTCACCCGAGAATGGAAAGAGATCCAGTTTCTGAAATGTGTTTTTTCTTAGTTATTTAGTATCTGGACGATGGACAAAGTCCAAAAACCCAGTATCTCTGGGGATTCATTTACTTCCCCTCCTCCAAGATCATGTATTGTAATCTTGTTTAGGTCAGCAATATTTTGGGTACTTTTAATTGTGTTTAGTGACAAAACTTTCAAAAGAACTTTCATCTCTGTTGTGACAAATGCCCATTGTTCTCCATTATTTGCCATTAGCCTCCATCACTTCACTTTTGTCTCTTATAAATCATTCTTTATGTCTTCCACCCATCTCAGTCTTGGCCATCCTACTATTCTTCTATTTTCTGACTTACTTTGAAAGATTTTCATAACCACCCTTCCTTAAGCCATTCTGCTTGCATGTACCAACCACTGTAGTCTTCTCCATTTAGACAAAGTGTCCATATTTAGTAGCCTGAAAGCATTATCATGGGCATACAATGCTGAAGTTTTGGCACTGTGGAATATAAGTGCTTACAATATTTTCAAAATTTAATTTACATTTTACAGAGTGGCCATAATTTATTCACTACATTAAAAATACACATAAACACAGTACAACAGATACAAAGGAACAGTTTGATGTTTGAAAGAACTGCTCAGACAGTTTCATGGAAGTTAAAGAGTGCACCAAGTAGTGGCACTGCTGAAGAAATGATAGTTAAGAATGTAAAATGACTTTGCCGCAGCAGAAAATTGTATGTGTTTCGTAGTGCCAGGAGATATTGACACAGCTGACAGTGTTTGCAGTGCATCATGTGGAAATCCATCTTTCGTGTTAGCAAGGAGTTTCAAATTCTGCTGAAAGCTATGCATAAACTTCTCCAATCTTATTTAAAGCAACAGCACAGATTATGCAAGCACTGGAACAAGATGAGTGACCACATCAGAAAGAGTTTGCTGTTGGTTTGCTCAGACTAACAGTGACAGTAGGCCACGCCATAGCTCAAGCGGTTAGTCGCTGGCTTCCCACCGCGGTAGCCCAGGTTCGATCCTGGGTCTGGTCAAGTGGAATTTGTGGTGGACAAAGTGGCACTGGGGCAGGTTTTCTCCGAGTACTTCAGTTTCCTCTGCCAATCTTCATTCCATCAAATTCTCCATCATCATAATCACCCGGGGCAGGCTACAATATGCCAATCAGTGGGCGCTGTGTGGAGTGGACCCAGGACTCCACCCCCCACTAAGCGAATTAAAAAAAAACAGTGAAAGTATCTGGACATCTTTTTCAGTGACATGTGAGGGTGTATGAGAGTGTAAATAATGACAGTTGCAGAATTTTGGGTCCTTATAGTCTGCATTTGGTGACTGTAAGTACAATAACCTTAAGTCATAGTATCTGATCACACAGTGACTGGACCTTGGTTTTTCCACCAGAAGATGGTTAATGGTTCAGATTGCTTGGATATATTCAGTTATTTGCAGTCATGCAAATGGCCATTTGCAAGCAGACATTTCCTTTCAGCAAGATAGTGCTCCACATGGACCCTTGGGATATGAGTATTTCTGGACAAAAATTTTCCAGGTTGCTGGACTGGTTTGACTGGGTCAGTTTCATGACCTCCTTTCTTCCCTGCTGTAAACCCTCTGGTTCTTTCTCTAAGGTTAAGGATATAAGAGTTGTTAGTCTGAATGAACTCTGTATGATGATTACAGGTGCTGTTGTTTCTGTAATACCCCAGATGTTGGGGAACACTTTGGTAGGAAACAGATACCCCTTTGACAATCTTTGGACTACAAATGGTGCTCATATGGAAGCACTTTTGAATGGTTCATTTAAATACAGCAAACTCTTTCTTGGTGTCTCGTGTACTTTATGTTTCATGTGTGTTTATAGCCCTTTGACAATCTTTGGACTACAAATGGTGCTCATATGGAAGCACTTTTGAATGGTTCATTTAAATACAGCAAACTCTTTCTTGGTGTCTCGTGTACTTTATGTTTCATGTGTGTTTATAGTAAGATGAATAAAATATGGTTACTCTGTAGTTCTGTGAAATATTGATTTTTGTTGTAGTTACTGATGGATTGAAGGGTGACATAAAACATATTTCTGAATTTATAATGTCTTAGCTTTCTGATGATCCAGTTATCATATTTTGTTTCAGAGCCAAAGTCAATAAGGGAATTGGAATAGAGAATTACCACTACCTCAATGATGGTTTATGGCAGATGAAACCAGTTAAATAGTTATATAGATGCATTTATTGAATCCAAATGAGCATTTGTACATTGATACATAAGTGACTGGAAGAATTAATAAAAATTCTTTATGTTAAATTCAATTGTAAGCATTTCAGCATTGTATAAATAAAAGAACAGTTTTAACAATTAAAATATTGTTCTTGTGCCATAATCAATGTATTTTGCTTCAGTTCATGTGTGTCTGTTAGGTAAGGTCATATTGGCATGTCAAACATCAATTTGAAGTAAACTGAATCTATAATTAGTAATTATTTTGAATGAGGACTTTGTAGTCTCATGAGACACCACATTCGTACTCAGTTATTGAACATCTGTGATCACAGATCAAAATCTTAATGTCATCTGAAGCTTAGGTTTCATGTAATGAGAACCCTAGATCTGTATTATGGTTAATAAACCCGCATTAACTACATGTTCCTTCTGGTTGTCTTATCATAAGGAAAGGTGGAATGTGTTTTGTTAGAGCTCTTGCCAAAGAAATGCTAAGTCACATGGCCATCTAGGTAGTTTTGGGGTTCTCTGTTAGCTACACAGTGTTACAACCCAGAAGACCATATTCTTCAAAAGTCACTGCTGTGAGAATCTCAAATTCGACTTTTTTTTTTTTTTTGCTTGGTGCCCCCTGAAATAGTCAAATGTCTGGTTCCCTCCACCTCAAAAGAGGAAACTTTGATAAATGGATAACTAATTTTTTAATGTTGACCTACAAGCGATAGAAGTGTGATCTATAAACTCTTCTTTCAAATTCCCAACCTTAATTCGCTTAGTCGGGGGTGGAGTCAAACTGGGTCCACTCGGCACAGTGGCAACTGATTGGCCTATTGTACCTGCCCTGGCTGATTATGCTGATGGAGAATTTGGCGGAATGAAGATTGGCAGGGGATACTGAAGTACTGAGAGAAAACCTACCCCACCGCCACTTCATCCACCACAAATCCCACTTGACCAGACCCGGGTTTGAACCTATGCCACTGCAGTGGGAAGCCAGTGACTAAGCGCTTGAACTATGGCATGGCCATTCCCAATCTTACCTACAAGCAGCGCAGCCTGTTTCTACAGACAAGGCTCTGAGAACTGAGCCACAATTGTAGGTCTGTTCCAGCTTGTACAGGGGAAATGATGTAAAAACAAATGATAGGTCTCCACCTTATGCCTTCATCTTCAGGGTAGAAGAATGATGAATCAGGAGGTGGCAGGTTTGTTCAAAATGTTGCCACTGAGCTATGCAGCATAACATCCCAGCATACTGCAATAACTAAGATTTTTTTTTGTAATCAAATTAGCATTCAGGAAAAGAACACCATATTTATTTACACAGAGTTTGCATACATATTTTATGCTTGAAAATTTGTTACTTTTTTACTTTCATACACATCACAGTTTTTTTAAGTTTCACTATTATCAGTTACTGTTACATTTCAATTAACCACCTGTTATTTCTGGAATTTGTGTAACAAATATTCGTTCCTTGCTGTATCCACATATGCATCATAGGTATATAAGAAGAAGCTTCTTCATTTATGGCAGTAGTCAAAGTAAATGTATGTACCACATAATGTATATCATACATTTCCTCAGTGTATGGTACTCAGAATTGAATATTACAGCTCATTCACATGCACTTTTATCCCCTTGTACCTCAGAGATAATGCAGGACCCATCATGTGAGATTTTAAGTTCTCATGGCAGTAACTAAGAGAATACTCTCTTCTGAGGTGTGATATAGTATGGTAGATACAGTGCGTACAATCAAGTGCGCGCCGCGGCTGCAATTTGCCGTGAGTCATACCACCGCAGAACGGATGCAGTCGCGGGAGGAGTTGATTGTACGCACTGTATCTGCCAGTGTTTCAGAGGAATCTGATACCTCTCTCTTCAGAGTAGGAGTGTCTCATGTGTACTAAAGATGGAGGCAGTAGGTTCCTCTCAAATATTTATGAGACTAAGTGACACCACATAATTTTAAGACCTGTCAGTTGACTTCTCATGAAATAAACTTTATTAATAAACACACAGCTATATAGACAACTTATACCAGACTGAAAATATCTCTATGATAAATGCTACTACCATGTAAATAAATAGAGTAAACAAGCTGAAACATCAGCATTTGTAACCCCATTTGAACACTTACCAATTCTTTATGATACTGAAAAATGATAAATATAAGCTTTCAAATTGTAACTATTCAGGTTGTGATCTTCTGTGTTGTGACAAAATGTATTCTTCTGAGTGGGTACTGAAGTTTCAGATGAACACTCTGCCTCCATCTTCAGGGATGAACTGAGGATGCAGTTAGGTTACTTATTCAGGTTCCAAGTTGGTCACTCAGATCCATGGGAATGGGGAAGCTGTCAGATATCAGTCAAAAGAAAGTGCCCTAAATATTGTCACAACCCAAAAGATCACAGTCTGAAAACAGCAAGTCATTACAATGAAAATTAATTACTTGCGTCGCCTCCGTGTAGGTGGATAGTACCGTCTACTGGGAGGCGATCTGTGTGCTGCATGGTAATACTGTGACCTAGTGTACTGGTATGGAGAAGTTGGATATGGATTGTGTGATGTTGCAGCTGAGCTTGCACCAGGAACATGGGGGCTCAGCTGTACTGTCCAAGGAGGTGCAGATGTATTGTCAGGAACAGGAGCTGGCACAGTTACAGGTAGCAGAGTTGTATACATTGGCAGAAATGTTGGAGTCATTGATGAATATGAATATGAATGTGCACCATATTGAGAGTAATTGACAAATTCAGAACATTTGTCTGTTTTATCATGGCTTCCTTCTCCAGTGCTTGATATCATGTATGGCTTGATGTCCTTGCTCACTTTTACAGGAATAGCTGCGAATAAAACAATTCCAATAAATGGAATTTTTATAACTAAAATTATGTTATTACAAGGCTACTGTCACCTACACTTGTACATAAAAGTGGACCTGACCAACAAAGTTACAAAGAATTACTAGACTATTACAAGTGAAGTAACACTTTCAAAAATTTATTTCAAATAAAGATACATTGGCATCAATAGAAATAATTTTTTAACTTTATATGAATGCTCAATAAGAATGTAAATGTTATTTCTAGCATTATCTAAGTGGAATAGGAACTTGTCTCTCAGCTCTTTGTTGGCAAGATTTTTTGTTTGCTGTATAACATCACAAATCTAGTTTTTAGTCAATCAAGCTTAGAGAAAAGCATATGCATACAGGATGCATTAGTTATCCTGTGTGGAGGCAGGTTAGAATACCTCCACCTGCAAGGCACAGAGGTTGATGAAAAAAGAACCTGGTATCTGAGGGTTTAACTGGGCCACCCTTTCACTGGTGGACATAAATACAAAGACCTGGTCCTTCAGGTTAAGGGTTGGATGCAAGGCTGACAACCTTGTTCCATAAAAAAATTATTGTTGCAAAATCCAAGAAAGTGAAAAACAGAGAAGTCTGGCGGAATCTTATAATGGAGGATATGGCTCAAAAAGGACTGGGCCTGTGAACAGTGATGATGAATGCTTCATTTTTTAATAAAATCCCACAAGAAGGTACACAAGAGGTAGATTTTGAGATCCAGGATGCCATGGTTTAGGACTTCAATTGCCATTTAATCTTCCAGAAACTGTCTGCGTCTCATTGAAAGTGCACCATACCCTCGCCCCCCCCCTTCCAAAAGGTCCCCAGGCTTAACTAATTAAGTACTACTGTATGAAGACGTATGGGGGATTGGAATTACAGAGCCATGTATTCTTGATGTAGGCAGTAGTTGGAGGTGAGTGGTCAGCTTCACCTCCCAACCACTTTACACCCAGTGGTTAGGAGGCTGTGTGGGCCCCAGAACCAGTCTGGATGACTTGGAGAGGAGAAAAATCTTGCACCTATTGGGACTTGAACTCCAAATCTTTGGCCACCCAGCCCATAGCTAGTTGCTATAACAAATGCACTAAAATTCCATCTCCCTTCACAAAATAAACCATTTTCAAATTTGAAAAAACAAAATTTTGAGTTACTATACCAGTTGATGATAACATGACTTTTGGGGGCAAACACGTTCTTGAAAATAAATTTTTAAATTTTGTATTCTTCACCTGTAATAACTGGCTACAGGGGCGTTTCTTGTAAGAAACATTGCATATGCTGGAATGCAAACCAGTCACGGTGTGTGCTAGAGAAGTGCACAGACAAGGACAAGAAAACGACACTCCAAACCTCACTTAGTGGACTTGGGAGCATTTGAAATGGACACACAATAAGACACAGACATAAATTAAAAATTTGAATTCTAAAGGTTCTGACAGTGGTACCATATATTACATGCATTACTGGGTTTCTGCACTTTGTCCAATGTCTAATAGCCTGAACAGAACAGTTTTTGAAACTGGACCTGGTTCTGTCCTCAGCCAAAAAAGTAGGGGTGAATGCTCAGTTGGGTCAATTATAATTAGTTAATTTCAATCACTGGACCAGATAAAGTTCAGAAATTTAGTAATCCTAAATTAAAATCTTAATTAAAACTTAGAGAATTTAAGACCTTGGTTTTATTAAAGGCAGCAACATGAAACATGTACCTAATATGAATGAACCCCTTCGAGTTCTTTTACAAGTGCCCTTTGTGTGTTCCTTTCCTAGCATGAGATATGTCCCAACATTAGTCCAATCTTGTCCAAATCCTTGTGCACTTGCTATATGCCTTAAATAATCAAAATCTTCAGTGCTTTGGTGCTGTTTGATATATCCTTCATGAGACCATATAAAGAGAAGTTCAAGGTAATTAAGACGTAATCTTCACTCACTCACTCATGGAGCTGAGCCCTTCTTGAGAAGCCACCAATTGTGCAGCTACTCAAGAACTTCCCAGCATTTTACAGAACCTGAAGGTTCATTTCCATGTTCACAAGAGCCCTCCACCGGTCCCTACCTGAGCCAGATTAATCCAATCCATAACATCCCATCCTGTTTCTCTAAAACCCGTTTTAATGTTGTCCACCAACCTACGCCTTGGTCTTCCCAGTGGTCTCCTTCCTTCCAGGTTTTCCACCAATGTCCCACACCTCCAGCATCATTACTAATTTCATGTAAATTCTCATTCCCAGTCACTGGTTTGGAAATTTCTTCTTTCCCTACTTTGGCATTGAAGTCTCTTAACAGAATTATCATATGGTACTTCAGGAATTTATCGAATACATATTCTAGTTCACAGAACCTGTCCTTTATATCATCAATTTTATCTTCCGTTGGGGCATGAATATTCAGCACATGAATATTCACACCAGTGACCTCTTATTATTATGTATGATATCCTATCACTGACAAACTCTACCCTCTTAACTGCTGATACGATATGAAAAAAACCTGTACCTAATTCATTTTCGCATTCCCCTAGCCACAGAAAAATGTATATTCGCCTGCTGGTTCAGTGCCATCTCTGTCCAATCTGACCTCCTGTGCTCCCGCTAAATCTAACTTATATTTTGAGATTTCTTCATCACTGCCCTGAGCGATCCTGCCCTATACATACTTCTAGCATTCTGAGTACCAAATCTCATATCCATTTTCTTTTGCTTAGGTCGTTTATCCACAGAATCTTATCAGGTCCAAGGCTTCTTGAGAATTTTCGTAACAAGCTTTTTTTCACAGTGAGGAGTTTCTAGCCCCATGTCCAACCCCCAGGCTGGAGGACCACCCCTTTGTCGGCTGTCCATGACTACTTATTCAATATATTCGTAGCTACCCTCCATACCTGGAGGGCATCTCTTCCATCAACAGCCTGAGAACACACCATGCCATGGTGACAAGGGACCCATGTAACATAGGAAACTGGTAACCTTAGCACTGAATAAGTCACAGATCATGTTTCACTGAATCAAAGCATACCCTATGCCTTCTCTGGTGCAGTGAAATCCATTTTCTTTCCAAACCACTGTCCTATGAAATGGAGTAACTACAGAAAATATGACATGCTACTGCAAGTTTTATGACTGTAGTTTCAAGAAAGGCTGTGCAGAAAGTATCTGAAGTTGTTAAGCAAGCTCATAATCACATAACATAATGTGATACAGAACAATTGTAATTCAACATGGAGCTTGCAGCAGTGGTCATATGTTGTTCCACATAGGATGGAGGAACATGACACAACATACTAAGGCCATGAATATAAGCCCCAATAATGGTGAGGGTTATGGCACTCATGGCTTCTCCCTTTTCTCCTACAAATGTATTGCCCTCCACCCACCTCTGGCCCATGTCAAGCAGCCCAAATGTTTGCCACTAGCAAAGAATATCATGTTACCAATGCCAACATTCCTGCAAACAATGCTATACTGAATGGGAAGCTCAAGGAAGATGTGGCGATATACAGTCTGTGGGACTTGTGACTGTAGTTTCAGCATAATGTATCTTGACAAATCTATTATATTTTCACTGTAAAAACAGAATTAATGCTTGATACACATTGTGTTGCTGTCACATTTCTGCTTTTTGCAGTTTAATTTGAAAGTACCAGTAATACTGAACACTGTACCTGTACTTGCTTGAGAGAGCCGTGAAGGTACTGGAGAGATTGGTCGCAATATCCATTCCTTCTTCACTGTTGGAGAGTGAGTAGATGGCAACAGAGGAAGAGAGTCAGGAGGTGTTAATGTTTGGGGCTCTGTATACAGATCTAGCACCTGATGACCAATATCTGTAAAATTAGTATAAGATCATATTACCACTTTCCACTGGCTTTAAAAAATATATATGTAATATCTCAAAACCACGAACTTAATAATGTTTAAAAACAGATCTGAACAAATTATCATTTCATAGAGAGCATTTCCTATGCCAACTTTTTTAGTAATATGTTTTCTTTCATCGATAATGCCAAGTCTTACATGTAGATATGACAGACCGATGATGGGCATCATATCATTCACAGCAGTTAATGTTTGTCCCATACGGAGAATGCAATTTTACCACACAAATGGACCCCTCAGCATGAAGTAGGCAATATGTTGGACTTAGTCCTTAAAAGGTTTGTAAGAATTAAATATGTCAAGTTCTATCTGAATTACTCTCAGCACTGGATATCCATTGTATTATGGGCTGACCTCTTAATTTTTAGCAATTCCAAAATTTGCTGTCTAGGGTTGTGCCACTTCTCATGTGGTTAGTTGCCATCTTCCCACTCTGATGACCTGGGTCTGATTCCAGATCAGGTCTTGTGGGATTTATGACAGACAAAGTGGCAATGAGGCAGGGTTTCTCCAAGTAATTTGGTTCTCCCTGTCAATTCTCATTCCACCAACTGCTTGACATTCATTAAACATCCTACCACTGACACCAGTCTTCATACTGGCAGCATCATTAAGTAACATTAAAAAATAAAGTCTATCTAGATAACATCTAAGTAATTAAAAGTGAAGTTTGCTTGCATTCCCAATATCTGAAAGTAGTGCAAAGCAATAATCTATAGAGGCTATTTTAAACTGGTACTAGATGTGCAGCTGTGTACTCCAATTGACATCAATCTATTTCTACCATACAGTCATACCTTCAAGCAGATCAATTGTGAGATCTTCAACAAACATATCCCACCAGTGTAGATGTTCTGCTGTGCGACCTGACCAATCAATAACGTCAAACTTAATGAACTTTCCAGCAAGATACAAAAGAGCCACAGCAATCACTTCTGGTTCCCATTGTAAACTCAAAGTGGTACATAAACTGTAACAGAGAAATGTCAAAATGTTACAAAATTAAGCAAGTTCTTATAAGTAAGAACAAAAAGAATTACTCATAATGAAATGTGATGGTGACACTTGAAGCATGTCAAATTACCTGTCATTCACAAATGTCCAAGCCATCTGCACCATATTTTGTAATTTTTTTTTATCCCCTGAAATATGAAAATAGTCACAATTAAAATTCTTACAGTGAGCAAATGTCCATTTACAAGTAAGTCAAATTTTGTGTTAATATAAATTAATCTGATTTTTAAATTTTAATTATTTATAAAGGTTAAACACAGTATTGTTACATGTACACCCATTGCTAGGTAACATGTTAAAGAAGACAGGTTCTTGATAAGGAGTCCATTGCTAGGTTATGCAACAATAGAGGAGGTTGTGTTTTCTATGTCACACGTGCCAAGCAACAGTAGAAGGACGGTGTTATGCAATCTGTTTCTAAGCAATGGAATTGTCAACACGTATACAATAATAATAGGCATTTTCCATCATGTTTGTGCAGAGTGCCTATAAGAGAAGTGAATTCAGATGCAGAGTCAGTTTGGGGCAGTTACGAGGGAATAATAGCAGCAGAAGCACGCAAAGAAGCAAGCAGGAAGAGAGCAAATTGGAACTAGGAGTACAGAAGAGTACAAGAGGTCAGCATTTAAGGATTTAACATGTGATGTGAAGACCTTATGTGTGCTATAGTGCAGTGGTATTGGGAGTGCATGGTTTAGGGAGATTTTTATAGTTCCTGCATAAGACTAGTGGAGATAGACTGAAGAGAATAGTGTGGAATGATTGTAAATTGTGTAAATCAGCAATCGTGTTATAATTAATTGTAGTTGTGACCTGTAGGCTATTAAAAATCCAATTACCAACCCAAACCCGTGTATTAGTCACGGATACACAAGACAAAATAATTAACTGAAACATAAAAATGGAATTCATAAACGGCTAAAACAAACGGTTTTTAAGTTAAACAGATTAAGTAATCAGAATTACTGGGTTTTTGGACTTTTCCATCATCCAGTATTCTAGAAACTAGAAGATACGATGCTTCGGAAATTGGATCTGTTTCCATCCTCAGATAAGAGGAGGAAAGACGCCTACTCTGTTGGGTCTGTCTTGTGAATCTGATGGGTTGTCCAGTGGTTGAGGTTAGGTCATTCTAAGGAACCCAACTGGGTAGGTGTCTTCACCCTCCGTCACCTGAGGATGGAAACAGATCCAGTTTCTAAAGCTCCATGTTTTCTAGTTTCTAGAGTACTCGACGATGGAAAAGTCCAAAAACCCAGTAATTCTGAGTATTATACACAATTGTCAGAATCTACGAATTAAATATTTTTAAATGAAAATTAAAAGCAAGTAAAACCAAAGAACTTACAAAAATTCTGAGTTATGTGAGTATTCTTGGAGATGCAACTACAGTATAAGTCGAATATGTCACCTTATTCTTCTTTGGCTATATAGTCCTTTTAAGTTTAACCTTTGCCTCCCTCACTATTCCTGCACATTCTCGTCTATCTTCAGCCTTCGCTCTCCAGTGCCTTACGTCTATATTTCTTAAATCATTCTCATCATCATTTAGCCATCTTTGTCTCGGTCTCTGAATGCTTCTTTTCGCCTCAGGTCTGCCATCCAGAATTTTTTGTGGCACCTTACTGCTCCTCATTCTCAGAACATTGCCTAGCCATTCTGTTCTTCTAGATCTGATCTCAGTCACAGTGCCTCATCTATTATATAGACTTTCAAATTCCCTATTAGATCTTATTTGCCATGTTCTATTTTGGTAAATATGGCAGTTTATACTCAAATACATAACAGTAACCCACAATTATTAAAATAAGTTGTTTCAGAAATCCATAACACCAAGGAATCTAGAAGACAGAACTGCAATGGTAATGGGTGGTGGTGGTAAGTGGTTGGTTTGATGAAGAGGAATACATGTTAAGACATGCTTATGTACAGAAATTGCCTAATATGACTTTAGCAGGGTTTGGTTACATTACGGCAATGACAGTTAGTAGAGATTTTGAACTTAGAATTGTTGTAAAATGGTCTCAGATTTGGGGTTCAAATAGTGCTGTCTTCTGGGATGTGATACTGAGCAGTCTGACAGAAAGGTACTAACATCTCTCCATCCTCAGGCTGCCTGTCTACCAGTCTATATGGCATCACATCCCAGAAGACCATAATGTATGCTATATATGCGGAATTTACAGGTCTCTGAGACTTCAAACATCACTTTGGAAAAGTCGCATCCACAGCATCATTGGCTTTCCTTTGGGTAAGTTTCTAAACCACTTACTGTGAGTCCCCACCCCGCAAAAGCTAAACTCTCACCTTTCAGACACTTTGCATATTCTTCAA